GTAGAATGGTATAAGAATTAGCCTTCTATCATCAGGTAAGACTGATATATCGACCGACAACTGGATTGACAGGAGATCATGATGATGATGAAGATGAAAAAAGGTGGCTGAACAAAACGGCCGGTTTGCAGATTTTTGATTTTTCTCCCAGAAAAGGTCTAGAGCCACGCTAGTGGTACTATTGGAGTCCTCTGGTCAAGATAAGGTCCTCTAAGAAGTCTGGTAAGCATAGGAGCTCGTTTTCCCGGTATAGCAAGGCTGCAAAAGTCGTGGCAGCCATTTTGTTTGAGGGTGAATCCTACTTAGTAACGCTACCGCGTTACTAATATTCACATATGGGGACATCAGATATCAAAGCTACCTGCTACTTGTTCAAAGCAACTTTAATGATAGCTTTTAAAATTTATATGGAAATTCAGTTGACTGAAATTCTATTTGACAGTACATCAAACTAACCCCTAGTTGCTTTCAACAAAGTTAAATTGTTGTAGGGCACACATCAATGCAATCAATGTACTTACTGCTGTTGTGAAGCAACTCGATTCATCAATGTATTTCTGACAGTAGCGTTTACCACGGCGAAGAGGATACTGCTTTGCATCACAGTTGAATTTAGTATGGAAACAATCATAGAAACTGCAGTTACCAGCACTGGCCAGAGCAGAGCAGTCAGTACCTTGAGCTACAGTGATACACAATAGAATGACAACTGCAGCAGCAGTAGTGGAAAAACCAGAAATCATCTTATGATATTAGCTGCAGCCTATAAAATAAAAAAAAACAATAAGGAGAAGAAAGGAGATAAGACGAGAGTGAGCTGGAAATCTGAAGGAAGCAAAAAATAACTCGGTTTAAATAAAAACCATGCATGGCAGGAAACATCATTAAAGCTAACACAGGAAGTGCAGTAGTTTGATTAGCATACCATGACATGTGGGAGGACTGAAGGGCAGGGATAAATATCTTTGTATAGAAATTGGCTTTGAAAACACTTCTATGCATAATTTTATTACCTGTTGTGAGTGCTAAAAAAATAAAAGTAGCCATATATCTGTATGCTACCATTATCTATAGATGGTACAACGTAGGATCAGTTCAGCATTCCTTGAAATGCCCTTTTACAAATAAATCATTGAAAACATATGAACAAGGAAAAAGTGTTCTAAAACAATTATTACATGACAAAAATGGCATGACAAAAGAGACATATAGATACTGCTATGGATAATATTACGTAGAATTTGCAAAATAATATCATAACCACAGAATCAGATTGAACAATTGGATGTAGCTTTTAGCATTACTAGCAAATTGAGAAAACAGTGAAAATACTCAAGCAGAATATTATTAAAAGAGGTACTAACAAAAAACAGTTGCAGAGGAAATTGGAAAACTACCTACATAGCCACTATAGCTTTTGTTGATTAATAGCATGACAAAAATAGCATGATGGGGGCAATTACAATTATTTTAGTGTTGGTTTTGTATCTATCTGGCTACATTCATTGTTAGCTTTGTCTACTTATGTCTTAGTAATAAGGTTGAACAAACACAGTTAACATACACTCACTATCAGAAAAGAAATTTTATTCACTTAACATCAGTGACTTTTGGGATAATAATAATGCCAGCATGGTATGCAAGCAGCTAGGATATTGGTGTTATAATGATAGTACCGGTACTATAATTTATTTCAAGTATAATAATCTTTGTGCTATCTATACTAACTAAGAGGTGATATAGGATCTATGGTATCATACTTCAGTTCAAGTGCAAAATCACATTTCACTATCATTTGACTTGAACTTTACAGGAAATGAAACCACTAGTCTACTTAACATCATGCAATCAGAAAATTCTTGAAAAAGCAATCAAAAACTTAAAAGCAAAATTATTGTGCTGACTAAAAATTGACAAAAAGAGAAAGGAAAATATCAATAGTTTACTTATTTCTAGGAAAATATGCAGTAGATCAACAACAATCAACGAAAGAAGCCTATACACCTAGTCATATTAAAGCACACACACACACAAAGTCAAAGGCAAGCATTTCATATCCATATAAAGAGGAAGAAACAAAGCAAAGCAGCCATTATAAGTACCATTGAGCCCAGAACACTGGTACCTAATAAGAAGATGTATGAAATCAAATATCAGTTACACAAACTTTCTTACCAGATGATGGAAAGCTCTCGGTAGTATCACCAAAAGTAGTATTCAATACAAATGTATTGTCATCATTCAATCCAACAATAGACAAGTACACATTAGCATTAGTAGCATTAGCTGGCATTGGTGCTTGCCTCTTAGTACGGCGTCCATCATTATTGTCATTATTAGTTGACTGCCTCATTAATTCTGGACTAATGAAATAATCAATGTCATTTCCATTGCTCATGACAGAGAAATCTTGTGTGAGCTCATTTGGATTTTGTACACTAAATGATCCGTGAACCACCAAATTTCCCACTGTAATATCAACTTTTAGTGTCATTCCCATTGATGGAAACTCATACTGTAACAAACGAGATGATCCTTTTGGAATGGTAGTGGCAATCTCTATTCAAGTCTCCAATATGGTTGGAGCTATAAATCAATCTTTAATAATTTATTTTATTAAAATTGGCTTACTTGAACATGTTGATACTTGTAACTGTCTCAACACACCCCCAAAATCACTAGATGAGAAACCACTGACATTAAAAACATTCCCTTGACCACTAGAAGCAATGGAAACTAGCTCCTGATAGCTTATACGATTCCCAATACCAATAGAATAAACATAAATCCCATCATTATGGACAGCTTGAGCAGCTTGTACTGTTGCTAAAGGATTATTAGACCATCCATCAGTAAGAACAGCAGCTATACGAGGGATACCTTCACTAACACGAGCAGTAGCAAATGCTGTACTTAGTAAATTCAAAGCTGCAGCAGTGTTTGTGCTTCCTCCAGTGTATGATATACCTCTAACAGCAGCAGCCAATTGTGAATAGGTATTAATGGAACCCAATGGGATAACAATTGATGGACTGCTAGCAAAACAAATGACTCCAACACGAGTGTCATTTGGTCCAATGGTAAAGTTAGACAGTAATATGTTAGCCACAAAGTTTGTCATTCTCTCAAAGTTAGTGGAAGTAATACTTCCAGATGAATCCAGCATAATAATAAAATCAAAAGCCCTTTCATTACAATCTGCACATACAGAAAAGCATCATTAATTTATTACATAGTAGTATACTTACCTAAATAATTGCGTATAGCAGCTACAAGAGCATGATCAGGACTATTCAAACTGCACTCACGAGCATCAAGAAGGAATGTAGAAATACGGGAGGAGCATGAAGCAGCTGTCCTTGTCATCTATGTAAAATATAATGAATAATAATAAGAATATTAATAAATATACTGACTCACTTGGTCTATTGCTTGTTTGCTATAAAAGTCTCTATCAGTAAATATTTCATTTCCAATACAAACAAGATTCTGACATTGATCAGATAATAATATATCTGTACAGAACCCGTTCTCAATGTAACATCTAGGATGGCTTTCAAATGCAAATGTCTCCAACTGATCACAAGTAGTATTCACATTATTATAGCGAGGACTGTTAACAATAGACTGCATCAAACATCTATATACTAACATTAGCAATCCATGCTTGACCCTAAATTAAAAATAATAACATGTTTTCCAAAATTTATAACATAATTCATAATTACTAAACTAAACAATGAGAAATTCCTGACATGCATGACCTATTATTACCATAAATAGTTATACTAGTCTCATTTAGCAAGACTCTCCCACCTTTTGACTTTTTGATGGCTTTCCAATTAAATTAAAAAGGAGTGGACTGTCTGGCTATGCGAGACTAAAATAGCTAGAATTGAATGAGACTTTACAAGGATGGACTAACAGGGTATTACCCTTATTGCTCATTCATAACATCATACTTCCCTCACAAAGATATAACCAATACTATATTAGGTTAATGCATTTTGCCATTACAAAAAAGGTATTATAGTATGGGATAAAACTATCACGCTTGATTTAATTAATGCACCCGCTATACCGATATTGAGTGCACAGATTATTTTTAGTGATTGGCAAACATGGCTAAGCACCCCCTGGAGCATGCACAACCTGAGACATGTAATTATTGCTGCAATAATTGAGGCGAACACAGTATTTTGGTAGTAAGGATGAAATTCGTAGTATTTTGGCAAATTGACAGTCAATAATAGCCTACTACAATATTTTCATAGACAATAATTATTAAATATTTTGACAAAATGATAGTTTACGTTAAAGAACAATAGTCTACTACAATATTTCCATACACCATTTCAGTAATGAAATGTAATGCCAGTAATGATCACAAGTAGTATTTGAATTAATATAGAGAGAACTGTTAACAATAGACTACGTCAAACATCTATGAAAATTAGTAATCCATGCCTGACCCTAAATTTAATATGATAATATGCTTTTCCTGAAATTCATAGCTTAATTACTAAACTAAACAACGAAATTCCTTATATGCATGTTGCTGCTATCATTGCTATAAATAGTCATAACTGACACTACATTAGAGTAATTGTTTATGCTTTAAATGCATTTCCGTCATTGCCATAAGAAGTTATAACTGATACTATATTAGGCTAGTTCTTCATATTATTTAAATGTGCATCTTTCTGTCACAAATAAGGTAATGGGATATAAGCCATATTGGTAGTAAGGAGTAGCAAAATTCATTGTTATTCTGACAGATTGACAGTTTACATACATTAAACAATAATAACTGTTACTACAATAATTTTATACTTAATTCTATTACTGAATACTACATATGTATAGTCTTGCTGTAGGCAGAGGGCTTGGGTAGCAAGACCAAAACACGTATAGGCATGATGCCATAATGTGCATGTACTTACTCCAGTTGAGAAGCAATTCGATTCACTGGCATATCTTAGACAATACTTTCTGCCATAAGCAAGAGGATAATCATTAGCAGTGCACTGGAATTTAGTACTCAAGCAATCATAGAAACTGCAGTCACCATTACTGGCCAGAGCAGACTGCAGTTAGTAGTTTGAGCTGTGCATTGATCAGTGATGCACAATAGAATGACAACTGCAGCAGCAATAGTGGAAGAACCAGAAATCATCTTATGATATTAGCTGCAGCCTATAAGGGAAAAAAACAATAAAGAGGAAGAAAAGGAATGAGATGAGAGTGAGCTGGAAATTTGAAGGAAACAAAAACTAACTGAGTTTAAATAAAAACATGGCAGGAAGTGCTATCACAGGAAGTAGTTTGATTAGCATACTGTGACATGCGGGAGGACTGAAGGATGAGATAGATAAATATTTTAATGTAGAAATTGACCTTGAACACACTCCTATGCATGATTTTATTACCTGCTGTGATTGCTGAAGAAACAAAAGTAGTTACGCACTTGTATGCCATTATATATTATCCTTGGACAGTACAACATAGGGTCAGTTCAGCAGTCTTTGCTACTTTTACAAATAAATCTTTAAAAACTTTTTAAAAACAAAAATTGTGTTCTAAAGCAATTATTACATGACATTATAAAATGACAAATTATTATAGATACTGCTATGAATAATAATTATGTAGAATTTGCAAAATAATATCATAAC